TTGATGGCTCATATTTGTGCGTTACCTAAGTAGTTGGTTTAAAGTCTTATTTTTGAGAAACTTCTATCGGGACATGCGATCTCATAAACGCATAATTTAGTGACTGCTCTGACTGTTCGTACATTGATAAGTCTTGTTAATTATTACAAGATTTGTACGCTTCTCAAACGCTGACTATGATTAATTGCGGGGACCGGCGGCAGGAAGCCTTTTGTGCGCGTGGTAATTTCCAAACTTCGCAAACTTTTTTTTCGGGCATTGTTGTCGCTACCCCGGCTGTCGTAGCGGGGTTATGAAGCAATACGTCTTGTGTGAGTAAGTGGGACTTGGTGTCGTCTCTTGGGACCCGAGGATGTCTCAGAGGTGGCTGGGAGACTACAAACATTGTCAAGCACGTGATTCCCCCTCATCTATCTTGTGGAAATGTACTTTTTCACCTGCAGCTATACAATTCCCCTCTGACAGATGCTCCGAGTGCTTTATCGCAGGGTACTGGGTACAGGTGACACGACGGGCGTCTACCACCATGTGTTCGTCTCCGCTTCAACGTGGGGAGTTTCCGTGTCCAGAAAATTGCGGCGGACAAACGTTGAACACGCCGGCAGGTCCTGTAAATGCCACGGGCACAGAAAGGAGATAAGATTAAAGTACAAGCTGTGAGGATCGATGCAGCATTAAAACTTCACTACTAAAAAAGAAGTCTGCAGAAGCAGGAAAAGTGCAAGGCACTGCAAGTTCTCTTTTAGCTGAGGATGGGTCAAATTGAATGTTGTATGTTTCAGTTGCATAGTGACAATTCTTAAAGGTGTACTTATATAATGACTTCCTTGGGCAACATACACAATGTATGAAGTGTGCTTCAGAAGTGTTTGTTTGTAAGTTCCTGTTTGTTTGTTTGTTTCCTTGTGATTTCTTGTAACTGGTATATACATGTATACATGCTAAAGTACTGAAAAGACAAAGTAACCATGCTTAAAAAATACCAATGCAGCTTAACCCAGCCCAACACAACACATACAACAAAACAAAACAAATAAGATATGGCACAATAATATGGTACATCAGATTAAAGGTGTGCCTCAATGATCGTGGCAAAACAGTTCCGGAAGGCCAAAAGTTCTTGAATTTGTTAATCAAAATTTAATTGCAAGGTGTTAAAGGTGTAATCTAATTCGATTTTCCATTGTACCTACCGTGTGCATTTTCAGCCAGGCTCAATTGTTAAAATTTTATTAGTTTTATTTTATTGACATATTTGAAATAAGCATTAAAAACTGTGACTAATTTCATCAGTGCTTATACGAGTCCTCTACTCATAGAATAACAAAATACAACACCAGATTCTGAAGTGAACTAATGATTGGAAAGGAACATACGAATCCAATTGAAACAAAGGTTCTCGGGTGTAAAAATATTTGCGCAATATGAACAATATATGAACTCTACTTGAACTAAGCCAACTGCTAATATTATGATTGGTAATAGCTATTGATCATAACTTAACTGAACTATTCTTCAAAACAGTATTCCAAGCAACACCTTTACATAGTGACAGTCTGTAGATATAAATATAGTGTGATCCGCAGTAAATCAAATTTTGTGTTGTGTTTTACGACCGCCAAATAGTTCCGCGCTCCGATCACAAACCGGGCGCTTTTTTTAATCTACGAGAGAAACTGAGCGGTGCCCTGCAGTACCTCATGAAATACTATTGCACAAATTTTGGATTTGATCGTAATGACTTAACCCGGGGTGGTCCGAGTTTTTATGGACGTCCACGTAAGCCAGCAATCTACCGTCAACACGTGCAAGCGAGCCCGCAACGATAACCACGGGCTATAACTGCCACTAGTCCTAACCCACGCGCTACCGGGAACAAAATTTAAAACTTCGATAAGTTGTTTCAGGACCCAGCGAACAAATTAGTGGCGAAAATGACAACTTTAATACCGGGAAATGAGAGCAGTCGTAAATTTTCCCATCCTTATGTCAGGGAGGGTTGAGCCGGGTGCGCATGATGAATTATTTGATAGCCGGAGAGGAGTTATCATTTGCGTTGAAAAATGACCATTTTCATAATTTGTGGCATGCTTGGGGTTTTGTATGCTGATACGGTGCGCTTTATTTATCATCTCGGCCCAAAATTATGCGTAACAGAGTGTCAGAACCACTTGATAAGGACAGTTAGGCCATATTTCATACTAAACCTGTCAAACTCTTTTGTAGATTTGACTCCTTTATATAGATTTGTGGCAGAAGTAATGCCGCCATTGCAGTATTTATAAGACAATATTACAGCAAAAAGTGATACAATTTTCTCCTGACAATAAAGCTCGGCGTGTATATCACGACATTCAGTGACAAACATCTCGGCACATTGGGGAGATGGAAACGGCCCTGCCATGCAAGGTTAAATTTGGCCATAATTTTAGAACATTATTTTCCTGGAGGTCATTCTGTGTATGATGTGGTGGGTATTAAAGCGGCGGATAGCAATCTTTACCGACACATTTGCAGCATGTATGGCTTTCAAATATCGTAGGGAGGGGTGTTAGGAAGAATCAATTCTGGGTTTATAACCTAATCCCGGAGTGTTGGCCATTAGACTTGCTGGATTTGTGTGCAGGTATTGGGCCGCAATGGCTGGGCCATTGTACAAACACCGGGCACATATGGCCCGACCATTTCAACTATGTTTGCTGAAAAGCAGTTTAGGAAAGGAAATTACTGTGCCTATTTTATTTTATTTCATTTTTTTTTTTTGCAGCGTGCGCCATTTACAGATACACTGTGATATGCATCAGGGTTTCTTACATATGAAATCATTGCTACTACAAGCACATAGTAGGGTATTTATTTTTACTTTTGCAAAGAAAGTTATTGTTTAGATAAAAAGTTAGCATGATAACTAAGTGACTGGATAATAAAATGGGTTTTTATTAAAAATCATCTGTATCTGAATATTCAAACCCAAATGGTGTAATGTTTTAAGTTGACCAAATTAATGAATAAACTACATGTACATGTATAGGATGCATCTTGTACAGTTATGATCATTCTATACAAGAATATAGATATTACACTATAAAAAACATTGACTTATTTGATTGGTAGGTTTCAATCTTTGTATAATCAATTATAATACAAAATATATGTCAATCCAAATGTAACGTCACAATGCAATTCAGCCATTCTGACAATGTTGTGCATCTTTTGAATTAAACCATTCATATGAAGAAAGAATGATAATATGTTGACAGTTGTCAGGTCTGTATACTAAAATGATTATACAGTTTTCTGTTCAATTTGTAGTGAAGATTGTGCTCTCAATCTGCTCTTAGCTGCATCTTTGAAATGAAATACCAGTGTCTTCGTACACAAGTTACAATTGACAAATTCTGTTCTTCCAAGAAGGTTTCATGCCTAAGAAATTAACAATTCTTCCTATTGTCCCAGCACTGTCCCAGAAATAAATTTCAACTGTCCCGAAGTGAGGATGAACTGTCCCAATCTGTTTTTTTGGGGGAAGTATTGTATGACTTCAACTTGAAGTCAACTTTATTTTTCTTATGAATCGTTATGATCACTCCCAAGCACACTATAATTGCAGGGTAGACAGGAAATTCGGGAGGACTTTTTTGGACCCAAAATCCAAGACATGTGCCTTAAAACAAAAGAAGGGCTGACATTCTGATGTTGATTATTTTTCTATTGTCCCAAAAATGTCCCAAAGTGTGTTTTTTGTTTTTAGTTGTCCTAGCCTAAAATTTTGTGGTCAGTGGCCACTGGACCACCTTTAATTTTGAGCCCTGGGTTTAGGATTGATTTTAACCTCCTTGGTTCTTCCTTATAGTTTCTCAAGTTCTTGCAAGCTAAAGGCTAATTGGCCTACAGGGGAGAAACATTGGACCCTGTTCAGTCTAGGACAACAGTATTGAAGGAGTCTAGACAGGTTTTCTGTGCAGAACAGGTGCTTTGAAGAGTAGGGTCTGATCTAAAATGGGTGGAATGTATTTTTGGAACTGGGCCATGACATCTTTTAAGAGGGCCCGCATGCCCTTTTCCGTAGAGCGTGATCAGCCGTTTTAATTCTACGTAGAGCGTAGACGGACTGCTGTAATTCAACATAGAGCGTAATTGGCATTTTTTGCGTAGAGCGTATTCGCCGTTTAAATTCTATGTAATGCGTTGTAGCCACTTGGAATTTATTGTAAAGCGTAATCGAGAGGTTTTCCGAATTCAGCGTAGAGCATTCTCGGGACCCCCCCATGCAGGCTCTCTTGAAGAGGTTCATCAGTCACGTAGAATTATCAGTTAGTAGAATAGTGACTGTTTTTGAAAGGTAGAAACACGTACCTCCAAATTTTCGATGTCCACTGAACATCTTGATCATGGATCCACACAAGTCTCGACCTAGTCTCGTGTTCTTGCAAGACTAGGTGACTCCGTGATCAAGATGATGTACAGTTGACATCGAAAATTTGGAGGTACGTGTTTTTATCTTTCAAAAAGAGTCACTGATTAAGGAATATTCTACTAACATTATCATGATGATGATCATGACATTGAACATGAAAAATGTGAAAGTTTGAACTTTTTACATTGATTGGTTATTCTATACTGGAAAGGCCAACTGAAGGAAAATGCTTGGTTGTACATGTACAAAGATACTACATGTAGTTGAGTAGCTAGTCCACATACATGTGCTTTAAAAAAACGGTCACACATTATACATTTATTTTAATACAAGTGTTACAGTGGGAGGTTATAGGCGCTACCAACTGACCCGGCCAACGGGTCTAGACCTTTTCGGCCGAGCGGTTAGAGAGTCGGACTGGTGCCCGGGAGGTCGTGGGTTCGAACCCAGGCCAGGACCAGCTTGTTTCTTTCTGTTTCTACTCGCTCCTCCTGTTTCTTACAGTTTTTCCCACACCGGGAATCGAACCCGTGCCTTGGAATGACATGAATTTATATATTTTTCTCTTGTGTATTTTTTGCAGACACTACGTCCTGTACCGGATGCCCCGTCTACGGTTCCTGGACGCCCGTCCCGTCAGTAGAACAGAACTTGCGGAGGCAAAGACACGAGGAGCCTTCATGAGAGTAGCACGACCAGCACAAAACATGGTAAGGACACACCAATTTCATTTCTTGGTTAACGGATTTTTCTAGAAAAATGATGGAGCGGGTGGGCGGAAAAAAGTAAGAAAAAAAAAACAGGCCTAGGCATCCTATTATGGCCCACAATAGTACGATAGGAGCCATGAAGTCAACACACCAAGCTGGTTCAAAATTTAAACAATGAATTTTGAACTTTTAATGATACCATTGCATTGAAAGATGGAATAACTGTAACAACTAGGCCAGACCAATTTAATTTGTTGCTTCTCGGATCGCCCTGTCCATTTTTTTCTGCAAAAAGAAAAAAGATTTTAGGTTCTAACTGCAAAATGCTCAACATTTTTTGGCCCCCAAGGTTGAAGATGTAACAATGTAACAATGCAACTTCGTTTCATTAACAGTTCAAAATCTATTATTTTAATTTTAACCAGCCTGGTGTGTTAACTGCAACATTTGCGGCCTTCATGAGATGTCTCTGCTTTTTTTATTTCGCACTGGCACCTCATATTTTTTCTGAAAAAGCCAAGAAACAATAAATTAAATTGGTGTAGCCTAAAAAGGTGAAACCTGCTGTACCACTTCTTCTTGAATTATCTTAGTATTTTGTGAATTGTCCAGTTTTATGTCTGTTTCTGTATCACAGCCCTACATGTATTATATACAAATGTAGTACTACCCCGGTAGTAACCTCGTAGCAGTGTAGAAGAGCCACCTAGCACCCCTTAGCCAAACTGCAAGCTCAAAGACTTGCTTATGTTGATGAACTTCTGTATCTGTATCTATATAGCGGGTATAACCACACTTCAGGGTAACACACCGGCTTTGCAGGCATGGGGCATGGCAGCAGCTGGCTACATTACACCAAATGAAGTTGAAGCTAGAAAAAATGCCACTATTTTACTACTAACTCTAAAAGCTTTAATTTTTGCTGCTTCCTTTTCTTGCATTCTCTTCCTCAGGAACATGTAAGTTTTAGCTTCCTTTGACATCATTATGGAAACCACATTAAAACTGCAAACATAATTGAACTGCACTTCACATAAGTTCAAGTCTCCTCCACAACACTTTAGCAGCTGTAGACCATTGAATAATCACAGACCTGCAATACTATGTAGTTAGGCCTGGGTAGTCCATGGTGGTGGGTAGTTAGCGACAATACGGAGCCAGGCATATAGGCTACGAAGCTCCACGACTCAAGAACTCAGTACATATGTACAGTGCCGATTCATAAAATTCCACAAAAAGCTGGCTTGTCGTATAGGTCGCTAAGTACTGCCGCAAATTCACAATACCAGCTTTGTATTCCTGTGATTTAGTGGCATTTTTATTTTGGGCCGGAATTTGTTTTTTATTTGCCAGCGCGCACTAGTTTGGGGGTCTTTAGAGGATGTCATTCATAAAATTAAGAAGGTGTGGCCTTAGTAAGCTCTAAGTAAAGTATTGTTCACTAGCCTGATATCCAAACCTATTTTAGTTTTTTAAAATCCATTTTTGTCCTCAGCAAATAGGAGAGGATTAGCTTTGGCTGACACACAGATTGTTCACCACATCACGTCATAGGAAAACAAGTGATTTAGAATTACATGTACATGTACCATGTACATGTATTGTGTCTACCAGTTGTTATGAAAATACAAAGCATTGTCTCATATCTGATGAACAAAATATCCTTGTTGTTTACTATTGTTATTGTTTACTATTGTTGTTTACTATTTCCAGTTTGATGACACATCAGGAGAGTCGCCCCCATCAGCGTATTCTCCTCTCCCTGCCTCTTCTCAAGCTGAAGGGAGGCACCAAGGTAAAACATTCACTTATCATGGTCTGATTCTGTGTAGCTGTGTATCAAAAGCGCCATCTAGCAGCTGGTTCTATAGATGCAGGAGTGAGGTTCCCTATTGAGTGTTTACAAAACGTGGATATGATTTGACATTGCTGATGATCAGACTTACTGATGATTCTGCTACACTGGTGATTTAAATCGATATTAATTTATTCATTAGATCTTCAAACAGCTTGGTGGTCCATTCAATTTTGCCAAATCACGAACTCTAATTGCACACAGGGGCACGGCACTACTCTTTTTTGCAAGGTGTGGTGGGATCTTTAACGTATGTGGGGTGTGGCTGTCCCAAAACACGGGACCTCCATTTACTTTAACACTGTATCGGAGCAACATCCCTAACCAAAATCTAAGTACATGTACTTATTTCGACCTGAGGGAAGTGAGGAAAGTTGTGTAAAGTGCCATTTTCGAGGACACAACATTGGGACATGTCAGGGGATGTCTTGGTTCCGAGCCGAATGTTATGATCATTACGCCACACAATTCCACATGGTATGTTAGCTTGAGAGACAGAATATTCTTCAAGTTCAATAATGACTACACTACTGCAATCTGTTACACTGTGACAATCATATATTTTTCTATCATTACAGGAACCTTTGGGAGATGCAGGTATGTGTACCACGGACGGCACTCGGAAGGCAACAGATTCATACGGAACAACGACTTGTGATGTCTACATGATAGAGATTTAAGCACTGTTTATGTTGGTTACCAGCTTCCTGCAGTCTTTGGATAAGTCAGTAGGGGGCACTAGTGATATGGTGTCCCTTGCCAGAACCTCAGTATGCTTGAATAATGAGATTAAGTTGATGAGTCTGAAATAGTGAAATGATTCACTGAAAACAATCAAACTTGTTTGGACTCACAGCACTCTATGATACATCATGAAGTTTTCGAGTGAAACGTGTTTAAAACCTGCAATATGCTACATATATCTTCGTATGTGTATTGTAAGAATAGGGTACAATTTTATAGCCTGGTCACCAAACCTATTATAGCTCCCAAGGACAGTTTTAGGTCAATATTCTAGTCACTTATCTACATACCCGAGGTATATTGACATTCATGGAACAAAAAGACTGAAAATTGTAACAGAAAACAGTAACTTGTAGGATCCTGATTTTTGGAGTAGTGCCCAGAAAATAAAGGACTCATTTTGGGGTTTGTTCTGCACTGTTTTAAATGCCCAAAGTATGAAAAACTGGTGCAAATGTGCTAATGTGGGGCAGTGTCTTGTGTCAACATACAGATTGCCTTATTCAGAATATTTCCAGTTTTGCCACCCTGAAATTACATTGGCAGCAAATACTACAAATTTGTAACAAACGGCATTATTCTTAGTTTCATACAACTTATCAGAGACTCAGGTAAAAATGTTTGAAAGTTTGTGTTTTCTTGTTTCAAAAATGTATATTTCGGCTGATAATCATTCAAACATGCTTCACCATCAAAGTAATTTTTCATTGCATTTGAAAGTAATTGCTGCTTTTTTTTATATTCAATCAAAACGCCTGACTTTAATATAATTTGATTGCAGCTACTAGAGAAAATATTATTTATCCAATATCATCATGTATATTTAAAACGACTATGCAGCACTTTGTAATATCAATTATGTTACTGTTAGGTTTTAACTGGACACAAAGTATATTTAAATGACAAAAGTTGCCAGAGCGCTTTATTACTGTAACATAATACATGTAGTTGCAATAATCATACTTTGATGGCAATAAAAACATTGTTTGTTTTGTGAAGATGAAATTCTTCTACAGTAAGAAATGGAAATACAGTCAAACCTGCCAAGGAGACCACCTCTTCAAGCAGGCCGCCTGTCCATGGTGACCGCTTTTTCTTGGTCCTTAAAATTTTCCTCATTGACATAAACATTGAGTGACCTGGCCAAAGCAACCGAGACCGCTGTGAGTTGGGTCCGTTCAAGGCCCAATGGTGACCACGCCATTTTTGTTCATGTTGATTATTGATGATAATTAGAAATCATGGAGAAACCAGCCAGCTTGCCTCGACTATTGGACAATGTTTTTTTGTTCAATGTAAATTGGGCCATGTGCCCTCCCCACATGCATTCACCACAGAACTGGAGATTTCACATTAAAACATCTCAACTTGGAAACCATTTATGTCTCAGTCATGTTGTGAGGTCACCCTCTTCAAGGAGACCACCTGTCCAAGGTGACCACTTTTCTTTGGTCCCCTGAGGCAGGTTTGACTACTAGTATTTCACAATCCTGTGAAGTGTCAAGAATTGTTGTGAGTTTTTGTTTATTCATTATTGTGAATTTCTTGCTGATTCTGTGTATATTCCACTGTCACTTTCTCACAGCCTTTAGGGAAACCATTTTGACTGCCAATTTGACCTTAACGTCAGTCTGCAGTTACCCAGTCACACAAGCATACAAATGGTATCCAAATAACTTCAGTCAGACTCACAAGCCTACAAACAAACACATTGAAAACAAAAAAGGCATTTGAATTCTACCCAGACAGACCTTTTTACTCAAAGTATTCATGTACTAGTATGTACATCATGGAAACACAATGTTACAATCAATACATGACATGTACATGTACATTTTGTACTTGTACATGTACGCAAGGGTACCGAAGTAACGGGTTCCTCACCCAGCGCAGGGAAAGTGGTGTAGGCACTTGGGGCCCTGTGTGGAAGGAAACTCCGCACAGGAATTCTAGTGCTGAACGGCTTATTTTCCAGTGCTGAAGCTCCGCCAGAACTGGAATTCCAGAGCTGAATCTTGATTCGGCACTCGTTTTCCAGTGCTAAATTCCACTCGGCACTCGCTTCCCAGTGCTCGGAGTCCATTCAACACTGGATAGCAAGTGTCGAAGTACCTAAGTAACGGGTTCCTCACTGAATCGTTCCAGTGCTCATGACTCTTGGCGCTGGAAGGCGAGTTCTCAAATCATTTCTGCACTGGGCTTCTGGTGCTTACGTCGGCCGTGCGGCATACAGCACAGTATCGTAGGTCAAGTCTACGTCTTTGAAAATGTGAGGAAAGAGGCCGTGCAGTCCTGTCCTGCAGATCACCTTGTTGTCCCGATTGTAATTTGCTTCCTGGGCGCTATGATCTCGAAAATATGAGTGTTAGAGTTCAAAGGCGGCATCTCGGTACCCTTTTTAAAGTCAGGGTTTGATTTGCCGATTCAGACTTTCCAGTGCTGAAGCCGCCGACACTGGACACCAAGTGTTGACGTACCTTCGGCACTGGAGATCTAGGACGGAAGCCGCCTCATATGATCACCTCTGTACACCTAGTGCTGAGAAAGGAACCCGTTACTTCGGTACTTTTGCTATATGTACATGTATGTGTAAAATTATGCTGCAAGGAATGCTAAGCCTTCTGCTAGTTGTACTTATGGCTGACTTCTTAATGTCATTCAGTTATACTTGTTTCAAGTATTACAAGTTGTATTACAAGTTACAACTGTAATTAAAAAGAGTTTTCTTCCAAATAGCTCGATACTATAATATAAGTCATGTAACAATAGATAATTTAGCTTTAAATTATTAGAGAGGTGTGTATATGTTGTGTATTTATAGAGCCCAATATTGAGAAATAAAGTGTAGTTTATGATGTATTGAATAAATGTATGATACACTCTGTTTTGACATTGTCATTTAAATATTGCAAAGCCCATTGTACATTGTATTAGACATAATGTTTAGAGCATTAGATTTGGAGTCTGCGGAGGATGTCATCCTTAAAATTTACTTGCTGTGGCCTTACATATAGAGTGAATGAATGCTCGACAATTGTACATGGTACAATGTGTGGCAGTAATACAACAATACTACAAAACTAAACTATCTTATTACATTTCTTACTACAAAAGAGTTGTAGTGAATATTTATGTGTGAAATGCGCGCTGAACCCTCTGGAACATCGCTCTACAGAGCGGACAGCGGCGTCCTCTGATCCTCAGCATGTTGGCACAGTGTTCGCAGCAGCAGAGATGTCCACAGGGGATGAACACCATACAGGCGTCCTCAGACAGACACACCTTACACTGCCTCTCTTCACGGAGACGGCGGAGACGGCGCAACATATGCTCCATAGTCTCAAGGTCCAGAGGTTGTTCTGAAAATGGACAAAATGATGGTTACACGTAATATTTCTTTGCAATTGTGCTCTCGCTATATAAGAAGCACTATTTTTGCTTTAAAAATCTAAAACTATTGTGCTAGAAAGTTTGGTTGAATTCTCAGTTTTGCCCTCTGATTTCAGATTTGAAAATAAAAGAAACTTTGAAACTTTCAAATTGATTGAGTTGCAAAACCACCCTCTAGATCTGGTATGTTGACTTCAAGACTCCTAGCATTTGGCACTATCATAGGATGTCTGTGTTTTTTTTTTGTGTCCTTTTGCTTTTTTGCACATTTTCCTCTTTGTATGATACAAATGAAGTGATGCCTGTAAATAAGCCTCTATATTACACAAGAAAATAAGCTATCCTATAATTGCAATAAGCTTGAACATGAACCTTGAGTCTCTGTAGATGGGTTTGGCCGTGTTTCTTTTGGGGGACTCTCCTCTCTGGGTGGCTGATCTTGCAGATCTTCATCTTCCTCAGCATCCAACAAAGCTTTGATTAAGCCTGTCATTGTAGCAAAAAACTGCCCATGCTCATTGATTTGACAGTAGACAACTCTTCTAATGTCATCGGGATCAAATCCCATCTCAACAGCATCTCTGACAATTCTAGAATCCATTGCATCATTGACTTGTTGCTCCAGATTTCTCTGATGGCTGCTTCTGTTTTGCTGCAGCTGCTTTTCAGGTATGGCAGTAGAGATGCCTTCACGATAGGAAACATGCTGCTGTGTTCCCTGCTGCCTTGTCTAGAAATATAGACATTTTTGTAAGGATGGCTGAGCATACATGTAAGTACAATGTATATTGTTGTCAGCAACAGAAATAATGTACTATGTAAATGCTACTTTATTTGATAAGAAGAAGATAAGAATTGATAACAATTTTCCTGAATAGTGGGTATCACCTACAGATATATATACATGTAAATGAAAGTACCATTTTCTTAGCTGAGTTGTGGGTTTGTAAGTCTGTTCGTCCTTCATTTGTATTATAGCTTTGTTTGCATGGGTGTGCAGTGGGTGGAAAGTCATTTTGACAGTTAAATGAAAGGGAGGTCAAGCCTGATGGTGACCCAAAACATGTACTTGCCAGTTGGGAATAAGTGGGTGGTATGTGGAGAAATTCAGGAAATGGTATCAAAATTACTTCATACAATCCCACACACACAGAGATCCAAAACATTCACAAAAACCCAAAATAGTTCCTGGAAGTCTAAAATCTCGTGTTTTAGGAAACCTAACCTGTTGCATGCCGATACGACTCCGTGTCCTGATGTCCCAGATGTAGTCCATGCCTTTCCTCATGATGACGTAACCGCACTCCGGCCCGTACCACCGCGCATGCTCCTCCCAGGGGTCATCGCCCTGCAGCCAGTCCTTCAGACCACCCTCGCACCAGAAACACCGGACTTGGTCGTCAATGCCTGCGGACAGAGTGAAGATATTTTTCTTCAGCACCTCAAAATAACAGACTGTTCATGCATGATTTCATAATATGAGGGAAGTTGCTGCTAGGATTGCTCTTTAATATCCCACAATGGTGAAATATTTTTTTCTGACATCCTATCCTTAAAAAAAGGCCAAAAAACGTTATGTTCCAGATATTTTTTTTAAAAGGTGTTTTGTTCACACACTCACAAGGACAAAAGTAAGATGTACATGTAGTAGGCATACACATGTATGTGAATAAATATTTCTGCACTAGAATGCTGTTTAGTAAACAATTTTGTGATGCATACTTACAGGTGTAAACAAAGCCTGCCTGTGCTAGCCTCCGTGGTGAGATGGGAGAATACAGCGGCCACTTGTGGAAGGTGGACAGACGGCTTTCCTCATCCGCAAAATCTGGCATTCTTGGCCTCTGTGCCTCTATTGGCACTAAGGAAGTGTTCATGTGTAAGTGTAAGGAAAGTCTACAGATCAAGACTGAATGTGTGATTTTCACCTAATAGGTACTAAGTATTTGCATCTTTATGTTGTACACCTATAGTAGATAGCTTGTGATAGGTCCCATGAGTGGAGATAACTGTATTTCCACATCATAGTCACTGTGGTTAGAAAACTTCATGTCTGATGATGTTAGAAAGACTTACAGGTGTGTAGAAAATCCCTCAAATCTAACACAGTGAGATATTTGCAGAAGACTATAGGATAAGTTGATAGTTAAATGTAACACTCACTGTCTGGCTAGATTTAACACAATTTTCTGAAAGCTGTGCAGTGTACATGCAACAAAAGTTTAACTCACACGTGTAGGAGACCCCAGCTCTAGGAGGCAATCTAGACAGCGTGTGTTCCGAAGATAGCTCTGGTTGTCTAGTCTGCCCCAGAAATCCATCGTCTGTCTCAGCAACACCAGTACTAAAATGGGAAATATTTCATGAATGCATATATATTTCATGAATGCATATATAAACAACTTAAGATGCATAAAAGTGTACATATTAATGCTTATATAGCCATTTGACAATCAAAAATGTTGTCACTTGACATACATACTTGACGTAATGAACTGATATAATCTATGGTGACAGTATATGATGGTTGGTTTTTAAGGCAAAGACAGCAAAGAAATGTGAATGTGAAATGTTTCTATTTTACTGTGCACATAAACAGCCAACCTGGACGGACAGAACATCCTCTGTGCAGCACTGGCCATGGTTTTGTCCACAGGTACATGTAGATGTCTGTCGTCATCTAGTGGTATATTTGAGGTGGCCAAACCACGTACGAAGGGACAGTCTGGGTAGTGCCGCTGGTGTTCTACTACCGGGTCATCACCTTCTTCCCACTGATGCAGAACACCACCACTGAATGCACACTCCACACGGTCTCTGTATCCAAGGTAGACGAACCCTTGCCTTGCCAGATCTTCTGGTGACACGGGTACATCGCTTGGCAGATACTTACAGGTATACAGAAATCCTGCCCGTGCTAGCCTCAGTGGTGACATGGGAGAATACCTCGGCCAGTTGTGGAAGGTGGACAGTCGACTGTCCTCATCAGCAAAATCTGGCATTCTTGGCCACTGTCGGTCTATTGGTAAAGCATATGCTGATGTGGTTCCAGATCCAGTTGCTTGTGTTGAAGGTTGCTGACTAGTTTGGCTGGTAACGATATTTTGAGCCGTACTCGGACTGCTCGTTGGCGGAGATGCTTGTGGTGACGTCTCTCCAAGTTGGACATTTGCGGTCGCCTCTCCGTTAACGAAGGGGCAGTGCGGGTAGTGTCGCTGGTGTTCTATAAACGGATCGTCGCCCGCCTCCCACTGATGAAGAACACCCCCACAGAACGCACACTCCACACGGTCTCTGTAGCCAAGGTAGAAAAACCCTAGCCTTGCAAGATCTTCTGGTGACACGAGTACATCTCTTGGCCAGTCAAAGTAAGTAGTAAGCCGATCTCTCTCTGTGTTCAAATTTCTCGTCTGGTATTGGTTAGAACCTACCGTAAATCTTGTTGTATCTTGACGTCTTGGTGGTTGATCACTGCTGATTCCGTCCACAAAGTATGTAGGAAGACGGTCTGTGTTTAAATCTTTGGGACATTGTGAGTCACATAGTGTATGATGTGACTCGTAGAGTTCATTAGAGTTGAAGTTGTGTGAGTGATGGAGCCAGCTATTGGATGAAGGGGTTGTACTTTCCATGACTGCCTGTTGTGCCTGCCCCTGCATTGCATCATTGTTGGGAACGTTGCTGGTGCTTGCTTGACTGACTTGTAGGTTTTTTGCAAATTCACAGTCCTTTTGCTCACTGACATGCCTCACAAAAGGGTTGTCACCAGCCTTCCAATTTCTAAACTGCCCTCCACAATCGAAACAGACTACGGTGTTCTCATCAACACAGAAAAATCCAGCTATTGCCAGAAGCCGTGGAGGTACAGGGCTATTATCAGGCCACAGGTCAAATGTTGCAAGCCTGCGGGATTCAATTGAATAGTCCTTGTATTTCATGTTTGTCTATTTCACAGCAAAGGATTAGAGAAAATTTGTCATACCATTTAGCTTTGCACCTGTGAAGCAAACCACTTCCTAAGTTAAATCACTAAGTGAAGTATCCCTTCAGAAAGTCAAACTTTGTCCCACTATTCAGTCACATGGTGAACAAAAATGAATGAATCTTATGGTTAAAGAAAGGGTTCCATGTTGGACTGGTGGCATGCAAAGAATTTTCACTGGGTGTTGATGGATGGTTATCTTGTGCAATGTTCAACTACTGCATGCGACTGTGAAAGAAAAAAAAGGAAGAAACATACGTCATCTGTATCTGTATCTGAAGGTACCTGTATCGGATGGGTAGACATACATAAGGTATCTCAACTTCCTGCTGGTTCTCTACTTAGGCCATAGCATGTAAATTATATGGATGACATCCTCCGCAAACTCCAAATCTAATGCGAGCGGGCGAAAAAAAAACAAGGCCGGCCGAGAAAAACAAGGTTCCTACATTTTAAAATTTTGACTCATTCATTGTACAAATGGTTTTGGTTCACATACATGTGTATACACAGCCAACATCACATATCACTGCATCAAAGTAAGAAACAAAACATTAAATCAGAGCCTTTTCTTGTCTCCTCTCTTCATAGCTATCTGCCACCCACCTTCTGGCATGGCAACAGATATCTTTGCCCATTTTTGGCATGTTGACCACTGTCAGAGGCAACAAAATTTGTTTTTTTTTCCAAAATCTGGCAAAAATTAATGCACGCGTTGATGTCATCCATAAAAATTACTTGCTGTGGCCTTATGACTATTCTAAGACACAAATCAGGGCCTCATTTGCATAATAGATGAAAAAATACCACACTCTCCATTTGTTGAATAAAGGTTTTCTGTTAAAATCTCATTATCATATTAGGCATTGCCCAAGCCAGTCCTTGGGGCCAACAGAAATGAAAGTGAAAGTGCATGAAAGTAGCTATGTTTACCAAAGGAAAACATTGTTTTTACTCAATTTCCTCTTCTTCTTCTCCAAACACTAACCTCTGACCTGGCCAATGACATGATTTGTTGACGTCTGTCACCATGGTGACTGGTGTTGGGTTACATAATGTTGCAATTTCATGGTCTGCTCTGCTCCTGTCACCATGATACTAGTAGTACATATTCACGTTTGATTACAATTTTTTAAAAGCGAAACATTGAGCTATAGTCGAGCTATCGCGTTGTTCGGGACAGCACGGTTTGTTCCTCCCGCTAAGGTGATTATACAGGTGGTTCAACTGTGGCGACCCGGACCTGTTTCACTAAGCAATCCGTGACCTTTGGTAAACAAACTTGTTGTCCAATGGCTGATGCAGTGGAGCTCTCATGTTCCTCACTCTCGCGTTAACTCATGATTAAACATTTGATAACTCCTTCCTCTATCCAGGAAATAGACACACAAAACCCAACACAGTCTCTGTCCATTCTCACAGTGTATTCACATCCAGACTCTCTCTAGATCTCCGGAGTGATCCCCAGGGGGACCACCGTGCATGTGCATAAGAGCTATGGCGGGAAGACCATAGCTCTAACAGTACATGTATGTGAATGTGTTTGAGTAAAAATTAACAGAGCAGACCATGTCCGAAGGTGAACATTATGCATTTGCTTTGCAAATGTTTAATACTTCTCTAGTTACAGCTTAATTTTATTTGTCTCATTGATCATGGACATGTGATGAATGAATGTAGCATAATCTGTCCCATCTACAGTTTTCTCAACTCAAATTACATAATATTGTACTTCATAAGTTCATATGTAAAAGTCCTATCCTTTCAACATTTCATAATTCATTTGGAAATGACCTCCACATTAACATAATACATGTAATGTATAGGAATGTTAACCTTACAGATGTCTTAAGTGTGAAATGTTCTTCATTAACATACTAAATAAGAAGTATTTTTGTCAATGAGGCCCTGATTTGTATCTTAGAATAGTCATATTAGTAGAGAACCAGCAGGAAGTTGAGATACATGTACCGTTAATATATCTATGCATGTCTAGTACCCAAGTCATGTGTAACAGGTATGGCCTAGCACTAAGAGGTAAAATAAACATTGTGAAAAATATTTGCACAGGCCACCCCGATTTAATTTGTTGGTTCTCGGATTCGCCTCTTCATTTTTTTCTCATTTGCAAATTCTTGTTCTGAATCAACTAAAAATGCTACTATTTTTCTCCCAACAGGAGTTTAAATGTTCCAGCCTTCATGGCTCCTATCATAGTATTTGGGGCTATAATAAGCTGCCTAGACCTGTTTTTTTTCGCCTTGTTGCTTCATATTTTTTCCAAAAAAAATCTAAGAACCAACAAATTAAATTGGTGTGGCCTAATTTGCATATCCATCAATGTTACTGAGCTAGGCTGCACCAATTTGATTTGTTGGTTCTCGGATTTATTCAGAAAACAAGAGTTCCACAATCTCATACCTTCGCCAAATGAGGTTAACCCTTGCGGGTGACGAATTATACAATTTTAATCATTGATTTTGTAAATAAGAGCCTCATTTGCATGGACTATGTCAGTTGATCATATTCTTCATCCAATGACAGCCTTATCATAACAAAAAGGCTATTTTAGCACTTCCTCATAAATTATGCAAATGAGGTCATGATTTGAATAAATTATGTTTGTTGATGTTCACCTTCACTTAACTTCCAAATGTGGCAAGTATGAAATTCGGGGTGCAGCAGTTACAACTATGAAATTATAAGAATTTCCCATTAATTATGCAAATTAGGTCCTCATTTACATAATATATATCCTCAGATGTTTTTCTCGTTCTCAAGTAGATGTCACAAGTGTTTCATAGTTCTATTATCGAACAAAGCAGAGTTATAGAATTTCCTCATTAATTATGCAAATTAGCGCCTGATTTGCATAATTGCCATCTGATCATGTCAAGCATCACTTATACTACTTACATACCAAAAATCACGACAATACGTCAACCGGTTCTTGAGTTATCGTCCTTCAAATTGTTTTCAACAAATGCTCCTGCAGTTCCAGAACAAGGCGCTAGGGGACCCAAACTCACGTCACTTCTTCCCTACCACAAGAGCTATCTACCAACCAAAACTTGTGACCCTAGCATGTCCAGAACATGAGATATCAAAACCGGAAGTTCAGCTGCAGTACCTAGGAAAGCCGCCAGGGGGCCTAACATCTAATCATTTCTAGGTCTTATGAAGACCTACCCACCTACCAAGTTTCATTCCAATCCATTTACTGCTTCTCGAGTTATCTTGCTAAACCACACACACACAAACACACATACCCATGCACACACAGACAAACGCTACTGAAAACATAACCTTCTTGGCGAAGGTAATAAAAATATGAAGCGACACTGCCAAAAAAACAGACCTTGGCATCCTATGATAGCCCCCAATGCTATGATAAGAGCTATGACATCAACACACCAGGCTGGTTTGTAATTCAAACAATAAGTTTAAAACTTTTCATCAAACCACTGCACTGATAGATGGAAAAATTGTAACAACTCTAAAGAAAAGGGACTTCCTTCAACTGTTGGGGCCAAAATATGAGTATTTGGGAGTTGTTGGGGCCAAAATATGAGCATTCGGGAGTTGATTCAGAAGCTGAAATGTTTTTTTTCCTTTTGCAAACCAGAAAAAAATGAAACAGGCAAACCAGTCTTCAACTAAATGAAGCAGGCAAATCTGTGAACCAAGAAATTTAACTGGTGTGACATATGTCACTAGTATTAAAAATATGTCACTAGCAGGGCCTGCATTAGTGTCCGCTATGAGAGATAGGACATACTGGAGTAACTATATCAAGTGTACCTCACCGGATTAGTATAAACTAATCCGGAGGCATGATGATGATGATGAAATTCTTATCATCCAACACAAACTACATGTTTTGCATAGTCAGTACATGGAATTTTGATATCTCGATGTAATTTACCTATCGCAGTAAGTATAAAAATCACGAAAATCATTCAGATGTTAAAATCTTATGTTTGCCTATTTCACCACGAAAAAAACAGAAATTGGTGCACAAAACCTCTATTAATACAACCCAAAAGCCACATGTAGCTAGCACCAGATACCATAGCAGAACAAAAGACAAGGAAAACCAGAAACGATAAAATAATCTCCAAGGAGATCTTTCGGTGGATACAAGACAGTATCAAATTGTATTGGCAGGTCACACATAAAATATTCTTCACTCCTTCTGTCATTTATAAATTTGCCTACATTTTTTTGTGCTGTAGTTTTTATGCTTACCGCTGTATTTTTCAACTTCATGCCATACGTGTATCAAGAAAACGTGTGATTTTCGTGTAAGTTACTCCTCATTTGCATAAATGGCACCATGATGGCACCAAAGAAGATGGCATACTAGTACATTTTGTCCAAAGAAGGTAACTTACCTCAAAAGTTTGTAAATCAACTACCATTATATACATCCTGTATCATTTAATGTCTAGTTTCAAGTGCTTTAAATTCATCCAGATAAATAGAAAGTGTCTGTAAAAAGTTGATTTTAAATAAACACAAAACTGAATTGAGCACGGAAACCTAGCAGAAATCTAGGGGACACCTACATGTATTTGAACATTTTTGTCGTGGTGGATTGTGCTTTGCGCGAGCTACCCGTTATTTTGGGGGCAGTACTCGGAAAATCTAACATTCTCTTGAAAGTCAGGAATAACAAATGAGCATAGACAAGACAACTACAGCAAGAAACAACAACACGTCTTTGTGACAAATTAAGGAGGATAAAAATCAAGTTGGTTTGGTGCGACGCGTACGGTACCGGTCCAGTTTCAAATTGGTCATTTGTGGTCGTTCGCCAAGAAAGATTAGTCTCTACCAGACTAACTACGCTGGTCATTTAAAGGTAGCCTGATGTCAGCCTTGTTTATAGCCGCGGACGACTCTGGTACACCTTTTTGCATGATAATGCCGGTGACTGTCACCGGCATTATCATGCAAAAAGGTGTACCAGAGTCGTCCACGGCTACCTTGTTTATAGCTTTTGAAAGCTAACAAGGCTGCCAGTCAGGCTAATATAAAGGAGAATATTTGCCAGGGGAGTTTGGCCGCCTTGTGGTTTGACTGGCCGCGCAGTCGGAGGGAAAGAAACTACCTCCCCGCGGCCGGACTCTCTTGGCCCATTTTACTCTCTATTTTGCCGAATTTTACGATCCGTATTCCCGTAGAAAGGCCTGGTGGGGGCTAAAAAAAGATAGCAAAAACGCCCACTTGAAAAGTCGCCACTGCTAGCCAAGTTGCTTCTTGTAGCCACCAAACATCTGCTTAGAGATTACATAGTCATAGACAGGGCACCAAGATAATAAAAAACAGAGGCACTAGAATATTTTGTTTTAAAGAAACTACAACGAACTGTGTAGATTGAACTAGAGCCCGATACCTATTAGAATGAAACAAACTGTAAAACACGCCTTTCCTTAAATGGAAGGAAGAAAGAACTTTTATTATCTCAAACTATTTTCGCTTGCCCTCTATTCTTTCCAAATTTTCAGTCTTGTCGTAATTGGAATATGGACGTTTTACAAAACTTCAAAACTATTTTTTCAAAATGGCGGCATCCCTTTGTATTTTTTTGCTTCCACCATAGCCACGCAGCCACGTACCGTCTCTTCCTAAACAAACAGTCAAGCCCTCCAAGCCCCAAAAACCGTACGTCCGTAAAATCTGGTACGGTGACCTTTTTCTGTGCACGTTACCGGCACCGCCTTGTTTCTGGTTGAGCCGCGCTAACACATTTGGGATCATTTGGCCTTACCTGCATTACGCACCAGACCCGATCCTTTTCTCTGGGTTCCCCGGAACAGCCCTGCTATATTCCCACAATCCCGCCCCTTTGTTTTAGAGGGTTTTTTAAGAGAAGGCATGCACAAGGTGAGGCAGAGTTTATATTAGCCTGGGTTCCAGACCCATAGCACACTGGACACAAATATCTCAGTGAGCCTGGCACACTGAGATATTTTGTGTCCAGTGTGCTTTGGGTCTGGCATCCAGGCTACTTAGTACTTGTTTTTTGTTCGTACCTTGTGACGAAGGGGATTCCCCAACACGATCACGTGGTGATCACGTGGGTCTATTTGTTGGATAGTCTCCAATTTTAAACCATATATGGTCACAAAATCGTCTGGTTCTGTCTGAAACTATTTTTGTCCCTGCAAAAACACCTGGCCGTAAGGTACGTTGTATGCAAGGCTACATAGGGGGTTTCCACGTATCAATATGGGACCCATATGCATGTGGAAATAAAGGAGAATGTGAACAACTTGATAATTTTTCTTAAAAATAAATCTTGAGATCAAAAATTGTCTTCAAAACTTACATTACAATAAACATTGGCTGAATCGTCATCACACAATAGCTGCTGTAAGTGTCATGACTTACCATTGGACAACGGCCGGACCAGGACATGGTTCACCTTACCGGCAAAACATTACGTCAAAAAAAAACGATGGTTGCATGGCGCAACATCGAATCACAAGTAGCGTTACGTAAAGGTGAACTGTAGCTGCTGTAAGTGTCATGACTTACCATTGGACAACGGCCGGACCAGGACATGGTTCACCTTACCGGCAAAACATTACGTCAAAAAAAAACGATGGTTGCATGGCGCAACATCGAATCACAAGTAGCGTTAAGTATTGGTGAACTGTAGCTGTAAGAGTCGTGACTTATCATTGGACAACGGCATGTCCAGGTCTCGAAGAAAGGAAGCGAGAGATTTGCTACTACATTTTCAACAGGCCAGGTGGGGACCACGCAGGACGACGCTCCTTCTTCTTTCTGTTGAGACAACCACCTGCATCAGGTTGAAGTCCTCTTAAACTCTTAGAACAGCAGATAAAACGTACTGGTACTCAGGTTGGTCTGCAAAGTGAAATTTTGTGAGCTATTGCGGCTGAAAGGGTTGCTTCAGTAATGGTGTTTAACGCGGAAGCAAAAAAAGACAACCCTCCGGGGTGCCGCCATATTGAAAAATAGTTTTGAAGTTTTGTACAACGTCAATATTACAACCACCTGCATCAGGTTGAAGTAATATAAAACTCTTAGAGCAGCGCTAGCAGATAAAACTTACTGGTACTCATGTTGGTCTGAAAAGTGGAATTTTGTGAGCTCCTATCTAGTAATGGGAAGAAAAAATGACCATGTTTGTTTCCTATATGCCTAGGATACGTAGGGGTAAGTCCCTGGGGTAAGTCCCTGGGGTAAGTCCCTGGGGTAAGTCCCAATTCTGGGAAGTTAAAGCTCAGTCTTTTATTTCATAGTGAATGGTGTTCCTTAATGTCTGAGGAAACTTGTTAATTGGCATTTTCACGTATCCTTTGTGCAGTTACTTTGTTTCAGTAACTGCGCGGATATAGGAAAGAAAGACAACGTAGACAATGCACAGATATTGGAAAGAAAGACAATGGAATGCGGGCACACAATCAAGACAGGAAGTGGGGACACAGCTATTTCCCCATTACGTCGTTAGATAGGAAGGACCTCAACAATACCCAATGAAGGAAGGAGGTACTGAAATTTGACGTTTTTCTTCAGTTTCAGGTTTTGACCCTCTATACCGAGTGCAAGTACAAAAAGTACCACTTCAGCGGTATACATAAAAGATAAGATTCATAGAGAAACAGACCTACTGTGAATACTATAGACTTGCACTAAGGATCTCGCGCCAGTGTAGACCAATGGCTGTGGCTGGAAGCTTCAATATACCCGACAACATCATGTACAGCATGGAGATTATCAGACTGGGCTCGTTCGCCACATGGCCTGACCACGGGTATCGTACGATCAGTCCGAGGAAGTTGGCCAAGGCGGGGCTCTTCTATACCGGTGAACGAGACAAAGTGACGTGCTTCAGCTGTGGGGGAAGCCTTGAGGATTGGGGCGACTACTACGATGAACCCCTCAACAAACACTTTCAAGAATATCCCGAATGCGTATTTGCCCGACAGAAGATGGAAGAGGGAAAAGGAGCGGTTGGTGGGAGTGGAATGGATTGGGAGTCCCGTCAGGCGTCCGACAGGATAGAGACAGCCATGGGCAGGATGAAAACCCTGGGCTGCGATACCAGCTGCCCACGGGACCTGAACACCGAGGTTCACCGGCTACACACGTTCTACGACTGGCCCCGCGACGTCCCGGTCAACCCTGAGCATCTGGCAAGGCTGGGCTTCTTCTACCTGGGTACGGGGGACGCCGTGGAGTGTGCGTTCTGTGGAGGTGTTCTACACCGGTGGGAGGAAGTGGACGACCCTGCCGAGGAGCACGCCAATCACTACCCGCGCTGCCCCTTTGTCCGTGGCAACCCAACGTCAAACATGCCAACTGAGGGCGAACGGTACAACCTTGGACGAGAACCACAGAAAAGGTTGGGAAATCCTTATAAATGATTATTAGAGTTAATGTAGAATCTGGAAAATGGCACGGACAGCACTGCACAATGCTCTGGACTTTTTAAAATGTGTTCTGTATCAAGGACAAGGACAGCACTGCACAATGCTTTGGACTTTTTAAAATGTGTTCTGTATCAAGGACAGCACTGCACAATGCTCTGGACTTTTTAAAATGTGTTCTGTATCAAGGACAGCACTGCACAATGCTCTGGACTTTTTAAAATGTGTTCTGTATCAAGGACAGCACTCCACAATGCTCTGGACTTTTTAAAATGTGTTCTGTATCAAGGGCAGCACTGCACATGCTTTGGACTTTTTAAAATGTGTTCTGTATCAAGGACAGTACTGCACAATGCTCTGGACTTTTTAAAATGTGTTCTGTATCAAGGACAGCACTGCACAATGCTCTGGACTTTTTAAAATGTGTTCTGTATCAAGGACAACACTGCTCAATGCTCTGGACTTTTTAAAATGTGTTCTGTATCAAGGACAGCACTGCACAATGCTCTGGACTTTTTAACATGTGTTCTGTACTAGTAGATATGTCCATACATCTACAACTGTCTTAAGAAGCGAGAAGTCAAAATTGTACATAGTAGTCGAACCAGTAGGTAGTAGTGCACTTAAGTATGCATAGTGAGATATCTTTGCTGTACCTTTGGCGTAAATTTAAGATAAAAATATTTATTGTTTGTTTATAAATAGTCGCGTAAAGTGCCTTTCCCAAGGGCACAAGATCGGTGGCGTGTCAGGACTCGAACCCGGGACATGTCTTTGTTGATAGGCAAATAACAAATAATGCTGTTTTTTTTTTCAAGTTCACTACCGATTCAGGTAGCATCACCACACCCAGCGACGTACACATATGGTCCAAAGCACCCGGAACTGGCTTCGCAAGAGTTGCGACTGACTACGTTCTTCAGTTGGCCGTCACGGTATACAAGTTCGCCAACGAGACTCGCTGAAGCAGGCTTCTACTACACAAGTAGGATTTCTTTACACAATGTTTAACCATTTCTTATAACCATTTCTACTGGTGTAGAAGGGCTAGCTGTAGGGCATCATAGTCTCCCGCATGACTTCAAAGAACAGGGACATGTGGGTATCCTTCCCCATACCGTCCCCATTCAGGTACATTCTAGCACACATCTTATAACCATTTCTACCGGTGAGTTTGTTTAAAAAACACACCTTGTATGATGGTAGTGGTATGCCTCACCAGTGGGTTCGTCAGTTGAACGCCACCCGTCATGGGGAATTTCGGCCCTTAGTTCAATATTCCCTCGGGGTGGGGGGCCAGCAGTGCAAAAAAAAAAAGCACCACCACCCACTGGTGAGCTGTCGCCATCAGTCCTGACGATTGACTTTTAAAACATTGTTCCATTACTGGTGCAGCGTTCGAAGTTCGAAGCGGAGTCAGAGTTCGAAACACCTGACGGCTGGTGACTGTCATAGGTGAATGCTAACGGTCGCTTCGCTTCCGCCTTTCCTCAAGTAGGTACTTGTTCCAGATCCATGCGGATCCTGCCTCCGCTGCTTCTGCTGCTGCTCTTGTAAAAGGGCTAGCTGTAGGGCATCATAGTCTCCCCGCATGACTACAACGAACAACAGGGACATATGGGTACCCTTCCCCATACCGTCCCCATTCAGATACACCCTGGCACACATCTTATAACCATTTCTACCGGTGTAAAAGGGCTGGCTGTAGGGCATCATAGTCTCCCCGCATGACTACAACGAACAACAGGGACATATGGGTACCGCCTTCCCCATACCGTCCCCATTCAGATACACCCTGGCACACATCTTATAACCATTTCTACCGGTGTAAAAGGGCTGGCTGTAGGGCATCATAGTCTCCCGCATGACTACAAAGAACAGGGACATGTGGGTAACCTTTCGGGAATTCCCCATACCATCCCCATTCAGGTACACTCTAGAACACATCTTATACCCAAACTGAGATGTGTAGAAGGGCTGGCTGTAGGGCATCATTGTCTCATAGTTTCAGCGTGGAAAGCTTACTACAAAAATCAAAGAACCCCGGCATATTATAGAAGAAGCTAAATTCATCTTCAACTGCCTAGTAATATACGTTTCCTAATTGGCACACTGTTCAATGGTCGTTGCCATATATTGTACCATGTACACTTGTATGCAATGGTGTCCTTTTTGTCAGATATTGACGACGGAGTCAAGTGCTTCTGGTGTGACGGCGTCCTGAAGGATTGGCGACCCGGAGAGGACCCGTGGACCGAGCACGCGCGATGGTACGCGGAGAAATGCGGCTTCGTCCTGCGTGAGCGAGGGATCGACTATGTCATGGGAACGAAGAAGAAATGTTCGCCTGAACTGGTAAGATCTTTTGAAGACATTTTCTGTTTTAGATTTCCTTCCCTAAATGAAATATGGAGGTATTGTTTTTGGCGCGCGCGTGTGTGTCTGTCTGTGTGTTTGTGTTTCCGCACATTTATAGTCAACATAACTTCATAACGCCTTTATGGATTGTGATATTTTTCTGTATTGGAATACGGCATTACTATTAAAAGCCGAACCACTGTATTAGAGTAGTTTTAGAATTGTTTGTTCTGCAAACATGTATACCCTTTCATCTCTTCACCTGTACTTAGCCAGATGAATGTATACTAAAGGTTATTTAATTATATACTATTGAATACCGTCTTCATCACAAAAAGTAGCGTTTCCGACAAGTACAGCACCTGCGTCGTCTGCACAGAAAAAAGCTGCGTCATCTCCACAGAAAAAAATATGCGTCAGCTTCACAGAAATAACGCTGCGTCGTCTACACAGAAAAAGCTGCCTCGTCTGTGCATGTACAGAAAAAAAACCTGCGTCGTTTGCGCAGCGCAGAAAAAAACTGCGTCGTCTGCACAGAAAAAAGCTGCGTCGTCTGCACAGAAATAATGCTGCGTCGTCTACACAGAAAAAAGCTGCGTCGTCTACACAGAAATAATGCTGCGTCATCTGTGCATGTACAGAAAATGCGCAGAAAAATCTGCGTCGTCTACACAGAAATAATGCTGCGTCATCTCCACAGAAAAAAATATGCGTCAGCTTCACAGAAATAACGCTGCGTCGTCTACACAGAAAAAGCTGCCTCGTCTGTGCATGTACAGAAAAAAAACCTGCGTCGTTTGCGCAGCGCAGAAAAAAACTGCGTCGTCTGCACAGAAAAAAGCTGCGTCGTCTGCACAGAAATAATGCTGCGTCGTCTGCACAGAAAAAAATGCTGCGTCGTCTGCGCAGACGAAAACTGCGTCGTCTGCACAGAATAAAGCTGTGTCGTCTAACTCTAAGGTGCATATGTACCCAGTATTTCGATCCGTGCGACAATTATTAGGGACCACGTTTCCTCAGGCTAAAATCTACGACGGCTGATTTTTACAATACAGGTTGGAGACGCTCATCAGCCAGAAGACGATGAGACCTCGCCCAAACATTTCCGAGGAAGAGCATTCGGCAAGAGGAGCCAATATAGGGGAGACGAAAGAAGACCAACATCTGACTCCGAAGGAAGAAACAATGATGATGACGAAGGTTCGAAACTAGGAAGATTAGGTTTTTCTTGTTGCATATCAATCATCAAGAACAAATCTATTTGAAATGCACTGTTTAAGCCAGTGTCACACATTCACGACCTTCCCCCGAATGTGTTCCCGGCTGACGTTCCGGTGCACTCTGACCAGATTTAAGCCATACCTATCTTCCTATGAGAATCGAAACGAATTTGAGTTAAATTAGATTAAAATTTGACCACCGAATACGCTCTGAACACTGCTGAGTTACTCCCGAATGGCTGCCTGGTGTTTTGCTGACTTACAGCCGAACACCAGCCGACCATGTCCGAAACTCCCGACCAACTCCCGAATGTTTTAAACATTTTGAAAAATTCAGCTGGAGCAGTCGAATAGTATGTGACCTCGCTGAACACCATGCGACTTTGTGCCGACCTACTTCTAACCATGGTTTGGGGAGTTTGACTAGTGTTCAGGAGGCCAAATTCGTGAATGTGTGAACGGGGCTTAAGCTTAAACGTATATGAGTACGTTGCCGTAACGTACCATAGCACAAACGTATGGCTGAGAATGCATTTTATCTTTTTTTTTCTCAGTGGAAGATATGCAGTGCTCCATGGAGGCGCTCCAGACCAAACTGCAGCGTCTGACAGAAGAACGCCAGTGCAAAGTGTGCAGGCTCAGCGACGCCTGTACGGTGTTCCTCCCCTGTGGGCACATGTGCTGCTGTGAGGGCTGTGCCAGCGTGCTGCAGCGCCGACGCGGCAAGTGTCCGTACTGCAAGGAGCGTTTCTCCCGGGTCAAACGAGCTTCCCTGGTGTAGATTTGCACGACCTTGTTCCTTTAAAACCTCCATGTTTTAATAATCTTCAAGCAGGTATGGAGGTAACAACGTTATGGTAACAACGGATTCCCCTACCAGTTTAGGGAGTTTGCGATTTTTATGTATTAAAGTACTACATGTACTACCGTGCATACTCTGTATGTTTGGTCAAATATTCAACCATCATGACCACGTAGATTTCATAATGAAGGCAAATTTTTCTTGCCAAACTTTTTATTCGCACGCTCGCATCAGTTTTGGGGTTCTCAGAGGATGTAATCCATATAATCAAATCAACATGGCCTTATAGAACATTAGCGACACTGCTGCCCTATCGTGTTTAGACAGAATAGAAAATGCTTTTACCTTTGACTTTATATACTTGACTTTACGTTTTTGTTTACTGCATTCTGTAACATCACTGCAACGGTGGGCTCTATATATATATGGTACTGGACCTCTATCTGACAATGATGACTTAACGCTTGTTTTCTGTGGTACGGCCATTGTTAGAATATTCCTGTGTGGCATCCTGGCAAAACTATTGTATATTCAAAGTACATATGGAAGCCGTACAAAAGTAGCATGGGTACCATCCCCAGTAGTATATTCGCAAACTCTATAACCAGTTATAGAGTTTGCGAATATACTACTGGGGATGGTACCCAGGCTAGTACAAAAGAGGCTGTGTAGAATGAATTCTAGTAAGAAACTATGTTAGCTATGACAGCATAGCTGTGTTGACAGCATAACTATGTTAGTATTAGAGCAGCTGTCACTTACATGTACTCCCCTGACCGTGTACCTGAGACCATGGAGGTAGAATCTTTTTCTACCTCCATGCTGAGACGCTGTAATACGGTTATAACGTCTGTGCGAACTCTGCACTGTCTATATCTAAATCCCTCACCTTCTCTAGTTGGCTGCCCCCGACGATTACATGGCAGAGAAGTAAGAACAAAGGCCAACGTCACGCAGTTATGCTACACCACGTCCAGATTTAAGAACAGTATATTGTGTTAAAGTGCAGAGTTATTGCTACACAGTTCAACAGCCGATACAAGAGGAAGTCGAGTTATTGAATGTATTGAACTCGTATAATGCATTTGAAAAGGGAGTTAAAAGTGCTCTGTCTCATTCCCCAAACCCAGGCAGGTAAACCTGTAATGGTGTATGTGTGTAGACATTGCAAATAAACCAGTCATCATCATCATCGGCAGTTCGCCTGTCTGTCGTCTTCACATTCACAGTATAGACAAAATAAGTGATGAAACATAATGAATGAATGAAAGACCTTTATTGTACATTTGTGCTCTAACAAGCTAAGTACAGGTCATGGATAGACAAGGAAAAGGATACAGCAATTACACTTAAACTATACATACTAATGTGGTCTACTATGTACATGTTCGACTTCTTCTCGCTTCTTGACGCAGTTATAGATGTACGAGCATATAGAACTAATAATACATGATTTGTCAGGTTTCATAAGAAATCTGAATGTTTCTACTTCATTTAAATGTACCTGTCAGGTATGTGGGACTTTCCCCGGGGAATACCCTTTGTAATCATGCCCGGGACCACGACTCAAGCAGCCATCGATTTCTTCACTACTGCCGATGCTTTCACCTGTTAACTTCTAGTTGCCAGGTAGGTCGATCAAAACATTTCCCCATCAGTCATAGGTGAAGGGACTGTAAGCAACTCAAAGGTGTGCACAATAAGGGGGCAAAAGGCACCGCATTACAGAAAGGTTTTGAACTGTTGTTGTTGGGTATCGACATGCTCGAGGTCATAATTTTTGGGTTGTATTTTGTTGCTCGCTGGTCTTCGCGAAGCTTCCAATTCATTTCAGTTGTTCATATTCGTAAAACTGTTCAATATTTTATATTCGAATTAGAGTGAATCTCTACTTAACAAAGAGACAGCATCCATAGCAAATGTTTAATCAGGGAACTCAGCAAATAAAGCATGTAGGAAGACCCGAGTCACAAAATGGCGTCCATTGATTTAATGAACAGTACTACGAAACTTCAAATTTACTGATTCAGGTACAAAATCTATGGATCTAATATAAAATGAACTTTTTAACTATCATGATGTATATATTTTTACAGAAATATTTAACTAGTCTGATCAAGATCACAATATTTCTCTACGTTATGTTCTACTAATTATAAGTGGGTGGATTTTTCATACACCATTCTTAACAATACATGATAGACAGGAAAAAAGATTATTACCTGAGCACACAGTGTTGTGTTTACGAAAAAGCACGATACACGTTCAATATAGGTCACATTAAACGTCCTTTTAAATATGTAACAATATGTAATGAATATGTAACATTTGCACTACAAATTAAAAAAATCTTCGTCGTGTGATTGTAATTTTATTCCACTTTCAACGTTTGTATCATTATCTCACATTTATTACATTTTTGATTGGCACTAAAACAGCCCACACAGGGTGTACGTATTTTGTGGTGCCACCACAAACTACGTATACCAGAATGTAAACAAACATGACTGGTAGCTGTGTATTCAAATTGTAAACACATTCGTAAGGCGTCATATTTTGGCACCTCAACGTCACTTAATAATACATAGAAGTGGATTAAAACATACTTTGTAAAAGTTGCAATGTGGTAGGGCTGATTCAATTTATATTGTACCGAAATGCCCATAAATGTACTTTTTTGTGTAATGCAGCTTTAACACAAGCAAAAAAAAACTTTCTTAACCCGGGGAATTATCTAGACAAAATCAACTGTGGATCATATCGATATCATCATTCACCATATTTCAACCAAGTTTTCTCGCACCTTTATATATGTTAATCTTTATGACGTAAAGTAGGAGTGACGGCTATTCTACACATGAAGATGATGAAACATTAATAACTTGTCCACACCAGCGGGTATTGCGTTCACATGAGTCAATCAATAGCTGATGTGCTGCCAACAAGAGTGATACGTACATGTTCAGACTTGTATAAGTAGGGCACAGCGTCTTCTAATTTCTACTCAATCAGTTATTGTCAACTTTGGTTTGCTTTGATTAAATCTAAACCACGTTAAAACTTGAGTTACATCATTATTACACTTTGAACCTACAAAAACACGATGAAAGAGCTTTAAGATAATGGAAGCAAATACTTTCATGACGTACGGAAACCCCATGCATACCCGCGTCGAACATGAACAATGGAAAGCCCCTTCGAAGAAAAAATACATGCGTCATCGCATTTCCCGTTACTGGCCGCGGTAATGGTGGATGAGACGGGAGACAGAGGTGCATCAGGGGTTTCAGACGTTAGATTTAACAGGTAAGGCTAGTACTGAAGTAGTCTTCTTTCGTCTAAATACCAACCAAGGGTCACCGTGGGGTCAACCGTCCCTGAATAGAACAAGTAACGTCGGCTGGGTCGGCTACTAGTAGGTGTAGCAGCAAGATCGTTAACTTGTCCGTGGATTTTGTCTTGTTTTAAATTTCAGCTGTACCGTAGATGTAACCTTTAATTTGTAGTTGTATCTGGAATAATCATCTCACCACTACCGTCGTTCACGATTCTCACTACAGACAACGGGCCACAGCGTTGCCGTTTTTTTACGTTCGAGGGGACTTCTCTTTTTACACATTTTCTGTGTTTGCAGGGTGTTTGTTAGTTTTTGTGCTGTTCCTGTTTCTGCGACAAGAAGAGGGGAAGGGACGTATTTTCTGAACGCTGTAAGGGAATGCCCTCCAAAGTTTCGGAGGCCATCTTGCAGGCGAAGGTCTTACGAATGTTGTTCCACCTCAGGATTATACGAGCATACTAGTACTAAGTACCAGTCGACCTTAGTTTCACACCGAAGGAGTGCCAGTTTCTATGGTGCTAAGGAGTGGGGGTTGAGATGAGTCATAGTTTTAACGGTTGCATGATTCAAAGTTAAGGCCAGTTGGCAAGTAGCCATACTACGTGTTGTGTGGCACACAACAATATGAGTAACAAAACCCCACGTATCAAATGTCGTAAACAAAGGTGTGCATATGGAAATCACCCGGGGCTAGAAGGCTGCTCGTGTTTTAAAGTAAATATATTCAACTGATATATTTCATTTGAGAAAAATATTGGGCCTTCCTAGCGTTGGTTGTGTGTTTTCCTTTGTTTCTTTGTCGTTTCTCTAAAAAGGCTCCTTTCTATGCCGCTTCCCCGACAGATGAATGCGTTGTTGACAATACATGTAGTTGTACTCTTTATACATAGCCAGGGGAGGCGGTTAACCTTTAACCCAGTGTCAACAGAAATACTGGTAACCTGATCGACCGGAATAAAGCGCCGTCTTTCGGAACCGCGGAGTTCTGCACTTCCTGAAAGGTGACACTGCTTGATGGGACCAGCGAGCGCCGAAGGTTCCTAGGGGGGTCCGGGGGCATGCTCCCCCGGAAAATTTTGAAACATGAACGTTCTGAAATGGCATTTCCTGCATTTTGGAGAGGATTTCAAATTAAAAAAAAATATCAGAGATAACTTTTAATTCAATGATATAATGAGCAGTCTACAATTCCAGCCCCGCTGGTGATACGAATCAGTCGATCTTTTACTGAGAAAAAGCTTGGACCTTTAGATAAAAAGTGGACCAAAAAGTGGACCTTTTAGTAGGATATGATAAAATTTGTACTCTTTTTAAATGCAAATGATCATCTTGATTATGCATTTTTCAGCTCATAATTCTATTTTGCGCCCATAGGTGTCAAAACGCAAGGAATATCCTCTGCGTTTTCTGGATGATTGTGCGAGGTGATGTATAACTTGGTCACAAGTGCACTTTGCGGTGAGAAGCTGGATCCTAAAGTGATACCGTCAAGGTTTTTACACCACAAAGAAAAAGATCTACCTTCTGGAGGTTTTCTTTCTTCTATCATTACGTACCCCATTGCCACAGAGTGGCCCGGACTGATGATACAACCAAAAGAATCTTAGAATCACCTTTATTTGAGAAAATTTGCTGCTACCTGTACGTCACTATTATCGAACGAATAATCTGCTCAGGGGCTCTTTGAATATCTTCAAAGGAACTTTAAAGTTTTGTCAAGTATCGACGATTTTCTGACAACACAAAAAAGAAAAAAAATGGCAAGAGGACAGAACGAAGAGACTGGAAGTGAAAGCCATCATGGATCGCATCAACAAAATTTCAATAACAGGCCAAATGAAAGAGAGTCTCTAAAAGGTTGCCCTGTTGGACAACCAGCAAATGACGAGAGAAGAAACATGAACTGTGATGATAGAAACGATTTGATAGCTGAACATCGCCTGATGAACAGACAAGTAGATGGCAAATTTGACAGAAATCTATCAGATAATGGGAAGTATGGGCTTGGGAAGACGGCAAAGATGGGCCATTCACTCATAGAAGCAGGAGCAGGCCCCCACACACTACACAAGGATGATTACAACGTCAAACATCTATCTCCAACAGAAGGTTTCAATTTTGATTCGTCAGTATGTACTGCGTCTCCTTCGTTCCATGTCAATGGCCACCACGAGTTTGCTACCAATGACCAAGTGGACGGAATCAGCAGTGATCAACCACCAAGACGTCAGGATACAACAAGATTTACGGTAGGTTCTAACCAATACCAGACGAGAAATTTGAACACAGAAAGAGATCGGCTTACCACTTATTTTGACTGGCCAAGCGATGTACCCGTGTCACCAGAAGATCTTGCAAGGGAAGGTTTCTTCTACCTTGGCTACAGAGACAGAGTAGAGTGTGCGTTCTGTGGAGGTGTTCTACACCAGTGGGAAGCGGGCGACGATCCGTTTATAGAACACCAGCGGCACTACCCGCACTGCCCCTTCGTCAACGGAGAGGCGACCGCAAATGTCCAACTTGGAGCCACATCACAACAAGCATCTCCGCCAACAAGCAGTCCGAGTACGGCTCAAAATATTGTTACCAGCCAAACCAGTCAGCAACCTTCAACACAATCAAGAACCGGACCTGGAACCACATCAGCATATGCTTTACCAATAGACCGACAGTGGCCAAGGATGCCAGATTTTGCGGATGAGGACAGTCGACTGTCCACCTTCCACAACTGGCCGAGGTATTCTCCCATGGCACCACTGAGGCTAGCACGGGCAGGATTTCTATATACCTGTAAGTATCTTCTAGTATCATAAAGTGCGTTGATGAAGGCTAGACATCTATCATGAAAGTTCATCTGTGTTGGTAGTTACATGTTTTAAGTTAAAACTTTTGGTCCAACACAAAAAGTTCTCTCACCTAGAGCTTTCGACCAGTCACTCTGGTCTTCCTCAGTAGACTGACCCAGTGTGGCTTGTCACGTGGCTTATTGGAAGTGTGACGTCAACACTAGGTCAAAGGTATCTGGTAGACGATGTTAGATATCTAGATCTGCTAGACATCTAGGTAACAATATTCAAAGACAAACTTAACTCTACTACTGGATAAATTAGAGATTACATCTGGATCAGGTCGCTTCGAGTGACATTCGCCACTCTTCTTTATCACCAGCGTCACTAAAATGAATTTATATAAACAGTTGGTACATCTTTCAAGGTAAAACTTTTGTTCCAACACAAAAGGGCAATGTTCTCACCTGGAGCTTTCGACCAGTCACTGTGGCCTTCGTCAGTAGACTGACCCAGTGAGCCTTGTCACGTGGTTTCTCTGGCCCCATGTTGACGTCACACTTCAGAGACGCCACGTGACAAGTTTCACTGGGTCAGTCTATTGAAGAAGACCAGAGTGACTGGTCGAAAGCTCTAGGTGAGAACATTTACCTTTTTTGTTGGAACAAAAGTTTTCACTTTAAACAGGCAACTACCCTTATGAAATTATGCATAGTCCGTTTTGACGTGATGAAGGAAAATATCTTCACTCTGTCCGCAGACGTTGCCGACCATGTCCGCTGTTATTGGTGCGAGGGCGGACTGAAGGACTGGCAGCAGGACGATGACCCCTGGGAGGAGCATGCGCGGTGGTACGGGCCGGAGTGCGGCTACGTCATCATGAACAAGGGCATGGACTACATCCGGGACATCAGGACACGCCGTCCTCCCGTCGTGCAACAGGTTGGTCTTCACTTCAAAGTCATCCAATGCAATTTCAAGGCGGCAAAACATAAAATAACCTGAGGAAATCTGTCTGGTATACGTTTACGTTCTACTGCCATTTCTTCGCACATCATTTCATATTTGAAGGATTTGAAACCAGGATTTTAGCCCAGAAACAAGCTACGCAAGGCGTCTCTTTATTTTTTAGGTATCACCCATACATAGCTAGAACCAGCCTAAGGTACAAAACAAGCAACCGTTTTTCGTCAGCATCATCGCATCTTTGCGTTATAGATATCAGAATGTTATGGCTTAGGGTTAATTCAATTTCTACACTAAACGAATGACCAGAAAGTGACTTACAATCAAGTTTTGCCCCCCTGGCATTGATTGCATTGGATGCCTTCAAAACAGACACCGAACATGATAATATTGATATCAAAGGGAGCTTTTATACTTTGCCCCCCTGTGACTTGTATAAACATCTGCATTGTTTGTATATTGATCATTTACTTCCTTTCCTTTGGTCTAATAATCTTCCTTGCCTTAAGTTTGATACAAATTTGTCTATTTCCTACAAATAACAGCCACAGTATCGTTGGGGGATCGAAACAAGTATCATTCAAACTATTCTCGAAATGGGCTTCGACGAGGACAGGATACAAGCTGTCGTCCACAACCAGTGGCAGCGACACAACCGGCCTTTCACATCCGCAACAGAACTTTTAACTGCACTCCTACCACAAGAGGAGGTTCCATATTACCCACCCCCAGAAGAGCTGGAGGAAGAACCACCTTTCGCTTTTCAAAATGCGCCTGTTGTTACTCCTGCACCCGCCGCTCGACTACCACCTATGGATGGTAAGGCTCGTAGAAATCTATTACTAGTATAAGGGAGCAGTGGACGATGAAATGCATTTTATCTGTCAGTGTCCACATTACGATTGTGAAAGAAAAAAGTTATTCAAAGAAGTCGCCAATATTTCCCCAAGTTTTTCATATCCCAACAAACAACAAAAGACTATATTACTGCTAAAGTCTCCCAACCCATTCATTTTTCAAAGAGTCATTGGACATACGTAACATAACGTAGGTTGTGAGGTCTATACAGAAATTGATTAGAATTAACTGAAAACACAATGTTGACAAATAATAACACATAATATGACATATATACTGTAACGAACAAAAGTAGTAAATTACAAAACCAAGTTGCCAAAACCAAGTCATTATCCGGAATCAAATTCAAATACCGTCCAATTGACTTACTAATAAAACGTAATTGGAAGCAAACTATAGTTCATGATCATAACCGTAGAAATCAAGATATTGCATAGACAAATGTATATAATTCTAAAGATGTCGACAATTATGTTGATTTTTTAATAATCTGTCCATTTGCAGAACAACCTCTGGATCCTGAGACCATGGAGCGTGAGTTACGCCGTCTCCGTGAAGAGAGGCAGTGTAAGGTGTGTCTGTCTGAGGACGCCTGTATGGTGTTCATCCCGTGTGGACATCTCTGCTGCTGCGAACACTGTGCCAACATGCTGAGGATCAGGGGACGCCGCTGTCCGCTGTGTAGGGCGCTGTTCCAGAGGGTTCAGCGCGCATTTCTGGCATAAATTGTTACACCACACCGACTTAATTTTATGGATGACATCCTTCGAAGACGTCCAAACTAGTGCGCGCGGGCGAATAAAAAAAATTCCGGCCAAAAATACAAATACTAAACCACAGGAACACAAAGCTAGTATTGTGAATTTGCTGCAGTATACGACAAGCCGGCACATGCTGGCGCTTTGCAGAATTTATGAATCGGCACTGTACGTAACGTTCTTGAGTCGTGGAGCTTCGGTAGCCTGGGTGCCGTCCTCCAGAGAGAGTTACCATTGTCGCTCTATATTGTCGCTAACTACCATGGACTACCTAGGCCTCGAGCCAGGCCAGAGCCTCGGAGGACGTCATCTTTTTTTCTTTTTGAGAACAGGCGAAAATCAATGCGCGCGCGGATGTCATCCATAAAATTAAGTCGGTGTGGCCTTACTTAGAGATATAGATACAAAAACAAATACTAGTACTAGTATAACCGCCCCCCTCAATAACAACGTCAACACTAGACTGTACTTTGAGTTACCAAATCCAGTTATTTCTTGATCAAGTAAACAAAAATCAATGCACATTAACCTTTTGAAACAACTTGTACTCCAGTAAATAGGGAAAAAGACAAATTACTACTATTCTAAATAATTATGATATAATATAATTATAATAATCTACTAAACTGCAACATATTCCTGATACGAATGATCTTATTTGATGGAACTTTATGTTGATTTCGTAAGTAGGAATAGAAAAGGACACAACTATTGGGGTACTGGGTGATGAACACACTCTGGACATGCATATTGAATTGCAAACATCTGACTTTAAAGGTAGCATATGCATGTACCGCCAGTAAGGTAAATCGGCACGGTAAAAAGTACAAATCTTTATCATTGTAATGTGAAATGAAAATGTACTTTTCACGAATGAAAATGTACTTTTAACGTTTATCCGCATGATGTTGAATGTATTATTTCCATTGTAAATGAAAATAACTCGGTATATATATGTTTCGTATAAATAATATGTATTTTAATTGTAATTTTAATAATCTTGAAGTTCATACAATCAATATGTTAAAGTGTAAAAATTCTTATCCCAATGACCCTTTTAGACACTTTGTAAAATTGTAAAGTATAAATAATTGAAAATAACTGTAAGAAATTTTTACTTGCGCCTTTTATTTTTGAAATAAATAAATAGACCAATCACTACTTCTATTGTGTTATTAATGTATTCCTTATTACACAATGGAAATTGTTTAAATATGACTACAAGCCCCAGTTGTACTGTTATGTTGATTAATATTTAGATTTAAGGTTCTTTATGTTAAGTCGCCAGTGTTGTCTATAAAGGTAGTACGACTCGTGGACCACAAGCGAAGAAGTGATATCGGCTACTTTGGCACATCCTGAAAATAGCACAGAATCGCAAGCTTGGTTAGGATTTAATCAGATATTATCGAGAATTTTGATTGTAATTCAAAACAAGAAAATTACTCTATAAATCGGCTACGTGCCACAGATCGTGACAAAAAGGGTATTCCCTACCTGCCCTCGCCATGGCCAGACTAAATTCGTCTCGTAGAATCCGCAAAACCTGTGAAACTCCTTCTGCACCCTGCAGAGAAAGAGGCAGTGTTGATGCAGATGCACATATACAGTACTGGGAATGGGAAACGGTGGATAGTGTATTAAAGTATAGATGTTTGTCGTACTTACGTTGTGTGCCAGTCCCCAGAGTGCGGGCCTGCCGATGAACACACACCTGGCTCCCAGCGCCAAGGCCTTCAGCACGTCCGTCCCAGTCCGGATACCTCCGTCCACGTCCACACCTGATACTCATGCCGTTTACAGTAACTACTGACTAACGGTGACCACTACTTACGTTGTGTGCCAGTCCCCAGAGTGCGGGCCTGCCGATGAACACACACCTGGCTCCCAGCGCCAAGGCCTTCAGCACGTCCGTCCCAGTCCGGATCCCTCCGTCCAGGTAAACCTCCGCCTTACCGCCAACCGCACGGAAGATGTCCGGTAGAACGTCAATCTGTAGAAATGTTTAAAGTTAGAACTTTTCTTCCGACACAAAGAATTGTTTTCACCTATTAAAAGCTCTCGACCAGTCACTCTGGTCTTCTTCAATAGACAGACGCAGAGATTTGACACGTGGCTTCTCGAAAGTGTGACGCCAACACTGGGTCAAAGGTATCTGTAAACGACGTCTCACTCGATCAGCCTATCGAAGAAGTTCAGAGTGACTGATAGTAAGCTGTAGGTAAGAACATATTCAATATGCAATTATCCCACATTTATGACATGTTGTCGACATTAATGCTTAGCACAAACAACAGCAAACACAAGGAATATTCAGTTTGTGACACCACCACAAAATACCAGAATATAAACAAACATGGCAACACGCTCATAAGGAGTCATATTTTTGGCACCTCTACTTCCTGAATGGCACTTATTTGCATTAGACTAGGGTTGATTCAACTCACGTTGTAAAGAAATGACCAGCAAATTAACTTTGTAACAGCCTAATGTTACATAAGGTTTATCCTCACGTACAGTTGCCGGCACGCCGTCCAGTTGCCTCCCGCCGTGATTAGACACGCAGATCCCGTTTACTCCGCACGCCACGGCCATCTTGGCGTCTTCGACTGCATGACAGATACAACACACCCATAAGATATGGGACAATAAAACTTGATAAGATAAGAAACATCTGTGTCAGCAGTGCGTATATACGAGAAACTGTTTCCTTCTACCTGACAGAATGCCCTTCAGGACAACAGGCAGGCGGGTGTTGTCTCTGATCCACTGCACGTCGTCCCACGTCGCCGGTTGCTTCAGTGCAGCTCTCAAATACTCCAGGTGCTCCACACTACCTGGAGCATGGGGCGGTTCTTCGTCGAAAATGTTAGGAAGTCTAGTAAAACAAAAAGACAAAGAAATGCCGCAAAAGGCCAGCATGTGCCGGCGTGTGGTAACTATGTACCACCGCAAATCCATAATACCAGCTTTGTGTTTCTGTGACGAATGCACAACACAATCATTTAAAGTGGCAACTGGAAAGTACAACCAAAATCCCATGCTACAGTAGGACTTACATGTACATACCTGCCCTACTTACTAGTATGTCATTGATGTATGTGCTATAAGGTGTCCTTGAAAACACACTCTGTTGTAGTTTTTTTTTCTAATAAATGAAACGTAAATTACCTAATAGGAACAGGAAAAGTCACAGGCCTTGGGTCAATATTAAACCTGAAAAAAGGCTGGTCCACTGTGAGGAATATGGCGGTGTACCCCGCGCGTTCTGCCCGACCCAGCAGACGCTTCATGCGACCACGGTCTTTGTAGAACATCATGTAGAACCAGCGGATCCCGGGAGGGGTCGTTTCAGCCACCTCCTCTAGGGAGTGGTTAGCCCAGGAACTCAGCACCATCCCTGTGTTCATGGCAGCGGCGCCTGGAGAGAAACCGTTTTTAGTCCGTCATAATCAGGAAAATATTAGACTCCACCAGGCTTTCCGAAGGGGTCGTGGATTGCAGACTTTGGGAAAAAGTAGGGTAAATAATTGGTCAGGAGACTTAGTTCACGAGTGAGTGATGTCTCTCTATACGTTGTATATCCTCCCTCATGGTGGCCAAAATCCACTGACAATTTTTGTGGTGGCTTGAAACAACTACTGATCTATAAAAATGATTTCTATCTCAAACCGTTATACCAGAATTTTGGATCACAAAAACGTTTATGCTTACATAATGCTTATATGCTTATAACCTACCTTTGACGGTTGCCAATTCCGCGTCAGGGTGAGCCAATCGGTGATAGGCAGTTGGCCCAATGGCTATTGGGATATCCATCCGGGTACCTAGTACCGTTACGGAGGTGTCCCGGATGGACACGTCACGGAGGTTCCGTGGGATGAGGCGGTATCTGAGGGGGGTGGAACGACACCAACAAACAAATAAACAAACAAAAATATAGTGTCTCGGATGAACGAAATCTCTGACACACAGAGCCTGCAAGTTTACAAAAGTCTTTTTTCTCAGCACTTGTTACCCAGTGCGAAACCCGCGACTTCTGGATATTTGCCCTAGTAATAGGCCAACTGCCCACTACTTACATAGATGTAGATGTTTGTGATATTTTTTTCTTATAGTCCTTTGTTCCCCTATATTTCAAAATTTGTAGTTGCTTCGGACAGTAAATTTTCCACCAAAATATATGGAATTTGGCAACAAAGTCCAAACTTGAATCCTGGTCATTTTTTTTTATTATTTGAAAAATATGTCCACTAATGAATCGTACAAAATGCCCTTTCTGCGCATTAACTGGTCCCTCCCCAGAATCCTATGTCCTCAGCCTCTTACGAGGAGGGAACAGTAGCACAGACGTACAAAACAAGGAACAAAAACAGGCGTCAAAGTACACTTACCAGTATTCCAAGGTATTAAAACTTCCATCCACTGGACAGGTAAACATGTCAAGTTGCCGTTTTTGGAAAAAGCCAGGATTCGACTCCTGCATGCGTTTTAAAGTGCTACAGCCTTTTGAATGTAAAGAAACGCTGACCTTTGAACTTGCAGCATGGAATCACACGTCTAGTGCTGGAAAACTCCATCTCAAAACATGTAATTCTATACCACCACCAATGGCAAAGGTCACCATTTCTTTCTGGATTTGAAAAGTAAAATACATGTCTGACCTCCCTGCCTGCAAAACTGCCAAAATTGACTCAAGATTCCACCAGGAAAAAATTATCAAAAACAATAACCCCAAAAAATGCAAACTGGCCCTTCCCCGCATGTGCTACCACTGGTCACCCTCCTTACGTGACCCTGACTGTGACTCTGAACCCTCCCACCTGATTCTAATCATGAACCGGTGAACTGCACAGCGAACTCCTGCACAGCGAACTCCTGTACAGCGAACTCCTGCACAGCGAACTCCTGCACAGCGAACTCCTGCACAGCGAACTCCTGCACAGCGAACTCCTGCATAACGAACTCCTGCATAACGAACCCCCGGCTTACCGCTTGAAGGCCTCAATGTTATCCCGGTACGTTTGTCCGTCCTCAGGATGACTGTAGTACCCCCAGGCAAACTCCGACAACTTCTCGCGAGCAGACTGCTCTATGTCTACGACTGTGGGGAGGGGAGCCCGGGGAGGCCTGTCCATCGTTGTCTTGACTTGACAGGACCCTGACTCGGAGTTTAATACCTTGGACCGGGCGGCTTCACGACTACGTGCGGCGGGCTTCCGACAGTTCCTGTCCCGGGAGTTGATGTTCAAGGTCGCCGGTCATGTTATACTTCCGGGTCACACAGTGTAACAGTGGGGGTTTAGAGGCGCTACCAACTGGCCCGGCCGATGGGTCTAGACCTTTTTGGCCGAGTGGTTAGAGCTGGTGGTGGGGAGGTCGTGGGTTCGAACCCCGGCCCGGGACCAGGGGGTATCTGTTTCTACTGCTCGCCTCTGTTTCTTACAACAGTGATATTTTCTGAAAACACTAGCCAAACTCCTTCTACTAGTAGATAGATTGGTTGATGTTGAGGAAAAACTACCCCCCTTCCCAGGGCTGATACACTGAGGGGGTGTGATCATGTTCCCCAAAGATGGAGTTCATTTGATAGCCCCCTTGGGAATTGAGAACCAGACTAATCAAATCAACATGGCCTAACCGTAGGGTAAGCCATCATATGACGTTGTCCAGCAATATGCAATGGGTAACCTATTGTTGACTTTCGGGGTCATCGAAATAGAGGGCACCGTACAAGAGAGAAGAAACACCACCGGCCCACCCCCCACAAACCAATGTTGAATTTAGACTTGCTTCTGCTGCTGTATCATTGACAAAAAATTCCAACATGGCGGAAGGGCTGCGTTCTGAGCTAACATGTGTCTTGGACTTTGAGAAGGAAACACGCAAGAAATTTTCTGACTTTGCCTGGCATTTCTTCAGCAGACGGAGGGGCGCAGGACAGACTTATCAGGACAATTTGGACGCTTTCAAACGATAAGCGGAATCGATCATGAATATCATTACCGTTCCGACATCAGTCTCAGCAAGGACATTATACATATATTATCTGTGTATTATGTCCTTGGTCTCAGTCTATAGAAACAATACACTGCATTCTTAACGTAACCACAGCCACTGGTATCAGGAGGTTGTGTAACACAAGTTCAACTGAACAATTGACGGCAGTCACCATTCATTGAAAGAAAATACTGCAAATACATATGTACATGTTTTTGAATAGCTAGCACACAGCTTTCGCCAGGGGGAGTTTCAAGTTGTTTGAGGCTTCGAAGGTGGACCGTCGGAGCGAGGGCTGACGTATTGTTGGTTAATTTACATCATTACACGTTCGTTTGTTTTATCCCTCGTGATTCAAACCTTACATTGGCTAGTATTAATTCTAAAATGAATTGAAAACAGACAGAATTCAATCATCAAGTTATTCACGTTCAAGAGTAACAACATGAATCAGATCAAGAAGGTTTAAACTTAATTGATTAGACCGCTGACAAGAACACAGTAAAAATGAAGAGAAATCAAGAAAATCAAGAAGAAAAAACAAAAAGAAGTCATACAACAGAACTTGCACTATACTTGAACTTGCAATATATTCCATATATTGTGTCGTATTGCAATTCGCCTTGGGCATGAATTTGCAAATTAACTTTGAACTTTTAAAAAAGAAAAACTTTTCTCAGATACCGTCTCATGACTCTCATCCCTCGTAAGATCCGTGACGTGTCCATCCGGGACACCGCAGTAACCGTTTTGGCTACGAGGTTAGATTTCCCGGTAGCCATTGCGTCAACAGCCATGCAGCGATTGGCTCATCTTGACGTGGAGATGGTAACCGCCAAGGGTTTGTGACGTCATTTTCTTTCCAATGGTATTCTCGTTGTTACGTTTAAGGTTATCATTCTCAGTTTCATTTTATTGGGATGTCCTTTAGCCCCTTAAGGGGATAATCTTCCAGGACTCCTACGCCAATTCCATTCACATTTATCTGGGTACAGAAGTATTGCTTTTGGTGGCGAGTTTGTATGTCTGTCTGTATAATTTCTTTGGTTGCGTGGTAGGTGGGATTTATTTATTTATTGGTTTATTTGTATCAACGTATCAACAACATATCTCGCAGCCTTGACATACAGGGCTGAATTATGATGTTTGTTTACAATATAAATCATTAATTAATAGTATGGAAAGACAAATTACAATCATATCGGAATCTACAGATTAATATGATATCAATTTGGTTCGAATTCAACAAATTTAGATATTTACAATCTTACAATCTTACCAACTATGACAATCTTACGTCGTACAAACCTAATATCACTTAATAAGTTTTAACATATATGTAGAAGAATAGTCATCATTTTTTTTTTTTTTGACATGTGATTAATAGGGAGGTTGAAGCTGAAGGTGACCCAGCATGTGCCGGGTGGCAGCAAGTGATCCGCTTTGCATTTGCAATAGAATCGTTATACTTTATATAACGATTATATATATTGTCTCCATATATATATATATATATAGGAGAGAGTGGAGGAGGCTGATACTGGATGCCACCATAGTCCCCGACCCTCAGACATGAGGATGGGACTAGGTA